ATTCGGCTCTTTATTGTTATACAAATCTGTAGTAGTTTAATTTTTAATTTAAATTCAAATTTTATTTGTAGGAAAAATTTTGATGACGATGAATGCAAAATGAAGTAAGGTAGATGCTGAATGCTAAATTTTCTAAGATACTTGGACATTAGATTATTTCTTCATTGAGCACAGTGGGAACCCAGTTTATCTCATATGTCTAGAACGCATTGCTGTGAATAAGTAGCAAATATTAGGTGACATTACGAGATGCACCATTGTGAAAATTTTAGGAAACTTACTGAACAATCAAGGAAAGATGAAGCTAAGTGGTTGAATTCTACTTCTGAAAAACAAACATCATTTTTTAAAAAGAGAAAAGACAAAAATGTGGCAAATACAATTACCAACTATGAAGTCTCAAAATGCATCATTGAAAGATTAAAATGTTTTACAGATGGTGATTTTTTAAAAATGCTTACTGGTAGTGTTGGATATTGTTTGTCCAGAAAAAAAACATCTTTATTTGAAATTATCAGCCTGTCTCTGAGGATGGTTACATGGCGAGTTGAAAAAATGTCAGCAACTGTTAAAAATCAATTAATCAATTCCTGCAGTGAATTACAATATTTTTCAATTGCAGTTGATTAGAGTACAGACTTAAGTGACACTGCACAACTTGCTGTCTTTGTTCAATGAGGGACTTCAACTTTTCAGATCTTTGAAGAATTTATTCAGTTAATTCCTATTGAGGAAACAGTAACCTGGAGCAGACATCTTTGAACCTTTGTTGAAAATGATATCAGAAAAGAAGTTTGATTTTTAAAATTTAATTGGCCTGAAGAAGGCTGGAACGTACAATGGCTGAAACATCGTGAATATGACAATAAAGATAAGGACAACAGTCCAAACAATGTAAATAGTTACAATACCTCATCTCAGAAATATAGACACAACCAACATATCTCTGCATTTCTTTCACTGGTATGTTACATAATAGATAAAGGTTTCTTACAATGAATGCAAGACATTGAAGGAAGGCCTTTGTAAAGTGTTATTCATTAGTGAAAAGATAACTGTTAAAAAATAAGATCCTGCAAAGATTTTCCAATCTTAGAAACAAAAACGGAACTTCATATTTTTTCATTGCCAGTGACAGGGGAGCTGACAAATTTTGGAAACAAAAGAATCAACCTGTTAACTACATACTATACATAGATAGGGCACCTCAGCATGGTAAAATGGTGAACAAGCCTGTCTCATTAGAATGAGTATGACTGAGTACTGAGTTTGATCCTCACTTTTGGCCTTGTGCCACATTGTTGTAGCATATCTATGGACAATAATGGGTATGTCTCCATTCAAATAAATACAGTAATAAATACTGCATGTTGGAGATTTGTCAAGGCTATGTCAAAGGGTAAAGTTGCATCTCGGAAAACAGCTACCCAACCCTGTTTTATACAGGATCTACAGGGAATTTTTGGTTGAGCCTACATGCTTGGATAACCCACATTGAATTTGGCCTTGTGACACATCTGACCGCATGGTGCTGTTGGTAGATATCCTGCAGTTGGAGATTCATTGTGGAATTCACTTGACTCACTTGTAACAGTTGACTACTTCTTCTATGTGCTGCTGGCGAATCTTAAATGTGTTGTTCTTGTCTTAAGTGTTATCGTTCATTAACGCCTTCATTTGATTATTCTATTCAGTAACCTAATATATATATATATATAGTGAGATGAGTAAATTGTCGCCATTTTAATTTTTTAATTCTGCGCATGCACATTGTTTGTTTTTGATTTTGTTCACAGCACAGTATAGAAGGGTCAGTTGGGTACCATCTGTCGGAAAAAAAATACCATGATCCAATTCACTTTACCAGAAATTTGGAAATGGCATGCTATATTGTTTGGCATTTGTGCTGGAAGCTCCAATATGAACATTTCAGAGTGTTTTGGTGTCTGAGGACAGAGCAGAAGATTTGGAAAGAGTTGGATGAATCTAATGGTGATTACAAAGGTATGGCAACATTGATAATTCACTCTGATTATTCTAAGAAAAGAACTCCATCATGCCACACAGACAAGAGAGCCCAGTCTTGGCTATCAGACAGTTTCTGCGACCACATCACCCCTTACATCTGACTGCAACCCCCTTGATTATTTTGTGTGGGCCACAGTTGAGCGAGAGACCAACAAAACTCCTCATAGAAGGCAAGTATCATCACAACATTTACCAACAAGGAGACTGTCCAGAAGAGTTTCAGGAGGCTCCAGAGGTCATCTGGAGACCATGGTTGAAGCTGGTGCCAATTTTATTGAATAAATTTACTCTTTAGCATTTCAAGATATTTTTGCATAATATATCTGTTAAAATGAGATGTCAGTGTTACTTTCATTTTTGCATAATTTAGGCAACAATTTATCCATACACACCCTGTATGGGAAGAGAGAGAAAAAGAGATAATGATAGCTGATAGAGTGCTGAAAAGTTCTCAACCCAACCAATAAGATATTTTGAGAAGTGGATTGTCCCAAGAATTTTTCACCTCCCACACAGAGAGATAAATGCACTTAAAAACACTTACATTCAGATATCCATATCCAAAATCAAAACACATATACATGTGTACACACACACATACACACACACACACTCACAAAGAGAAAAAAATCAACCTAACAACAGTAACTAGTGCATAAACTAATTTTTAATGAAAAATGATAAAATCTGCAGTTAATTGCTGAAACCTCCTGATGAGTAGACAGAACGATTACAAAACTGTTTGTCTATGAAACTCGAGATTTGAGTTGCTGAATATAACATCTATCAGCTCAGTGATAAATTTTATATGCATTAATCCTATATATATATATGTGTGTGTGTGTGTGTATATATATATAGAAATAATAATGAAAAACTCAAATATTCATTAGGCAGAGCAAACCAACTTAATTCCAAATTAGTCTAATGAAAAAGTCTGTAATACAAATAATAAGTAGAGATTACAATAATAATACCATTTGTGTATTTAATTCACTGCAATAATTAAATACACAAATGCTAACCAATTGTTAAATCAATGGAAGGAAGTGATCTTCAAATGTAGACATAGGAACAAATTTAAAATCACCTAAAAACGTTTATTTTTTTTGGGGGGGGAGTTGCACACTTGAAGTGTAGGTTTGTTTATATGGGTAATAGCACATATGTGTGTACATTCATGTGTATGTATGGAGGTATGTACACATGTGTGCATATGTGTAGGTGTGTATGTGGGTTGATATTGAGTATCACACAATTTTGTTGTTTTTGTGTGTTTCTTCACACATAGTTGGATCTGTAACTGTTTTGCCAATGTACACCACACCTATATTTCTAAACTAACATCTTTTGTATCATTATCCGTACACCATTTTTTACTTTTATTTGTATTTTTACTTTTACTCTTAATTTCCCTAAATTTATTTGTTTTATTTCTCTGTATGTAAAATCAATTTATGTTTGATAGTATTATTACTATTATTATTATTGTAATTTCTACTTATTTTTTGTTTTAAGGACTTTTTCATTGAACTAATTACTTTGGAATTGTGTTGGTTAGTAATGCCTAAAACAATAGGCCATATCAGTCAATTTTCTGTATAACCCAATGTACAAAGTTCCAAACTTTAAGGAAATTCTTGGCTGGGTCAGTCTGTTAAGGCTTACTACTACCTAGTCATTACTTCCTTAACCCTTTCTTTTCCTTAAACCCCCCACCCCCGCCTCCATCTCAACTTTTTTAAAAGAGCCTTCCCCTCCTTCTCTCATATCTTCTCTCTTGCTTTCCCTTCCCACTTTCAGTTTAATATATCTGTCCGGTATATTGTCTCCACTGACTAAGAAATTTCAGTCTGAAGAGTGAAATTTTAGGCATTATTATTGTAATATCTACTTATTATTTGTATTAAGGACTCTTTCATTAGACTAAATAATTTGGAATTAAGTTGGTTTGTCCTGCCTAAAACAACAGGCCATATCAATCAATTTACTGTATAACCCAATGTAAAAAGTTCCAAACTTTAAAGGAAAAGTTCTTGAACAGGTCAGCTGGTTTAAGCTTACTACTACCCAGCCATTACTTCCTTAACCTTTTCTTTTCCATAACCCTACCTCTATCTCATCTCTTCTCTTGCTTTCCCTCCCCACCTATTAATCTAATATATCCATAGTGTATTGTCTCCATTTACTAAGGAGATTTTGATCTGAAAAGATGAATATTTTGATATTCACAAAATAAATTATAATTGAAATGAATATTTAAGGTTTTCTTCTTTATTATTATTATTATTATTATAATGCTCTGTAGTCTACATTGAGCTCTCCCTGGATTAATATCCTCTTGAATTATCCCTACCAGTCACAAACTGGTAATATATATATATATATATATATATATATATATATATATATATATATATATATATATATATTGTGATAATAAGTAAAGATAATCCTTAAAAATCCATTTCAGTTATAATTTATTTCATGAATAATATATTTATTTAAATATTTATTTCTTCAGACCAAATTTTTTTAGAAAGCTTTTCAAAAAACCTTTGGTCTAAAGAGATGAATATTTAAATAAATATATTCATGAAATAAATTATAACTGTAATTTTTAAGGATTGTTGTTACTTATTATTATTGTATTGCACTGTTACTTACATTGAGCTCTCTTTGGATTAACGTCCTCATTGGAATTATCACTACCAATTACCAATTGGTATATATATATATATATATATATATATATATATAAGAGAGTGAGAGAATTAATATAAGTAAGTGGTTTGTCACTTATCTGATTGATGTTACCTTCAGCATCCCGACTTCAGAGTTTTGTAGACAGACACACTGGGAATCACTCAGTTCACTTGTCAGTGGTGGTAAGCATACAAGCTATAGTCAAACATGTAAAATATATATATATATATATATATATATATATATATATATATATCAATACTTACTTTAAATGTGGTCAGCTCCATGCCAAGTACTTTTGTATAGAACTGAGCAGTTTTGTCCATATCCTTCACTGTAATGACAAAATGGTCAAGTCTGTCTATCTTGAAACCAGTTGCCATTGTCTTGGCCACTAAAGACCTTGTGAACTGACCCTGTGAATAAACAAAAAACTGAAAACCTGAGCACGATGGAAAGTAGTGAATGCTTGCAAAGAGAGAAAAGTAGGACAGGACTGTAGTACGTTTCTCTTTTTCTCTCTGACAAACATGATTTGAAATCTGCAATACAGGACAGCAGTATTAAATAGGGCAGAAATATTTATCTAGTTTTGCCTTTTCATCTGGAGTTGTTAAAGATTTTTTATTGACGGTTTATTTGTATTATCCTCAATGGAAATTGTTTAAACAGTCAATTTATACTGTTTGATAAAAAGCATAGTGGCAGATGGAATTTTATACTTAATGTATTCCTTAATGATATTTGAAATATGAGGATCATTCAAAAAGTAAAGTGTGCACTAATTTAATTTTAAAAGTATTAGAAGTCTTTTTTTAAAGCTATAAACCATAAAGTGTCTACAAGGCCAGGTGAAAAATTTGAGTTTTGTTCTCTTTTCCTATACATAATTTTTCAAAATGGTTCTCCCTCTAGACACATGTAAAAAGAAATAAAACTAGATTTACAGCTTTTAGGAGAAAAATGCTGAAAATGTTCATAGGAGGTTAGTGAATGTTTATAGTAAAGCTGTACTTTATATAATGAGATGTCAGTAGAATTAATAGCAATGCTATAGAGAAAGAAGAAACTGATTCTAGTGACATGTTTCAAAGTGGAGAGCAGCTGCTGTTATCAATGAGAATAGGACCAAGCAGGCTAATCATCTTACTACAGTTAGCAGAAGAATCACTGTTGCAAATATCTGTGGAAGCTTCAGGTAAGCCATTGGAGTGCCTGCAGTTTAGTGCTGACTTATGGCTACTCAAAAAATCTGCACAAAGTGGATTCTAAGAATGCTGACAGACTCCATGAAGTAGCAATGGTTGGGTGCTAAGAGGTTATTGAGCTGCACAACATGGATAACACTCATGAAAGAGGAACTGAAAGGACAGCAGTTCTGCAAAGATGATGAGATTAAAGAGTCAATTTGCACATGATTAAGAAAGTAGTCAAAAAGATTCTACAAGCCCTTATTCAAAAGTGGAAAAACAGTTGAAAAGAAAGATTATATTAAGGAATAGATTTAGAATTCTGAGTTCTTTCATGATCATTGAATATTGCTGCCATATCTAGTCTGGTGCTCTTGTTATATATCTCGAGATTCTGTAATGTAATCGATCATGATCTGGAATCTTGACTTCAGTCATTTTCTCACTGATATGGCTTCCCTCTGTTTTTCTACAAATATTTTCATGGCAACTCTTCTGACAAGCTTTTTTTTCCTTAGTGCCTTGACTGCATGAATTTCAGCATGCTACTAGATTGGCAACTAGGTCTCACCATTTTACTGTTGAACTAGCTAGATGCAACCATCTCTTCTATTCTAACAGTTCCTTTTCTCGTACTTTTCACCTGTGGAACTTCCTTTTGATTTCTTTCTTCCCTGACACTTAAAATCCTAAAAAATTTAAAGGCAACACCAATTGCCATCTTCTGTCTTCTTGACTCCTGTTCCTTTATTGTCCGTTCCCCATTTCTCCTCACTAAAATCTTCTCATTTTCTTTCATTCCCTATAACCCCCTATGTCCTACTATCATTATTGCCTTGCTTTGCATGAAAATGATTATAAAAAAAAAATTAGTATGCTTTGTCTTTCTACTATTAACCCTTTAGCATTCAACCTGCTCAAAACTACCCCATAAATATTGGCTCTCAATTTTCAACCCACCGTAACCCGCCCCATGTATACTCTGCCATAATATATGACAGAATCATTGCAAATAATGCAGGAAGTCATGCAGACAGTAAATCTTTGGCCACAACAATAAGACTTTGAGAACTGATATCTATGGGATGGATTTCGGTGTATTGAATGCTAAAGTGTTAAATCTGTTTTAATTAAAGAAGAACAGTCGTTAATCTTTGATAAATTTTCATAACTTAATTAGTCAAATTTCATGTTGTGCTTTAAATTTATATTAAGAAATATACTTTCTCATAGCTGAAATCATAATGGTAATGGTGAAATTAGTTGTTCCCAGACAGGAAACATTTGGCATTCATTGACTGAATATTTAACATTACTGTCAGTTAGAGTTTATAAAATATTTCTCTTTAGACAGTTTTTCAGGAAATTAAACCTCTCAAATCCAATATTAAAGAGTTAAACAGAAAAAAACAGTTGAAATTCCTGAGACACTTAATGAGGAAAGAAGGCTTGAAAAATTTGACACCCACAGGACATATTGAAGGTAAGAGGGGCAGAAGTAAACAGCAAGTAACCTAACAAATGAGCTTGTATAAATGGATAGCAGAACATGAACTGGGAGGGATGGTGAGGGGATAATCACTCTTTACTTTTATGTCACTAAACTTATTTACTTATCTTGTTCTCTAACTTTATAGCATGCCAGTGACAAGACAAAATGAATTTTAGTATTAGATTAAAAGTGAAATAAGTAATTTCAATCTAGAATTTAATCTCAGTGAACTAATACTGATTCCTTAAACAATGATCACCGTGGCTTATGGCCACAACATGTTAAAACAGTGGTTCCTGTATGATCACTGAGGTTAAGCAATGCTGATCCTGGTCAGTACTTAGATGGGAGACTGTTTAGGAAAATCAGGTGCTATAAGCTTGGATGTATGCGTGGTGAAATGGATAATAGTTTGGAATTGTAAATCAGAGAGTTGATTTTCAATTCTTGTTGGGTTCATATATTCACTTATTCTTGCCAGGTTTGTTATATTCACAAATATTCTTGGGGAAGGTATGACTCCACTTTTCTCCCCCCAGCTATGGGTTAATTAGTAAAACTTGTACCACCAAACCATTATTATCTCCTCCCCAAAAATTCTTACAATCTAAAAATATTTTCTGGCTTTAAATAACTTGCAAATGGTTGATAAGTCAGAAAACAAATGAATCAATCCAATGATCATCATACCACCTCACACATCTGAAATAATAGATTAAGACATTTTTTATAGTTTACTTACTTCATTTTTACTACTTTTAATGACATTATTTACATTCAGATGTCCTAATCTTTGTTGCCATTATCACAAAATTTCATCCATTTTGGCCTTCAGCCTCTTTCATTCAGGGAATTTCAAACTTTTTTTGCAAATTTACACCAAGCAAGGCAATAAAGCCACTAAGACACAAGGGGTTACTGTGTATGAAAGAATTAAAAAACAGAAACATTATTAAGGAGCAATAACAATAGGAGAGTAATCTGGAAGACAGTAGATAAGGATTGACATTGCATTTAAATTTGTGAAGATCAAAGTTGGCTGGAAAGCATGGATCCAGATGAGAGTTTCACAAGTGAGAAGTGTGAGAAAAGAAACTGTTAGCATAGAACTTATGATTACATCTAGCCAATTCAATTGTAAATTGATGAGTCCTTGATGCCAATCTAGTACTGTGCTTAAATTAAAAAAGTCTAGGTACCATGACAAAGAACTCATCTGAACAATTACCATGAAAGTGTTTATAGAAAAGGCACAGAGTCAACCTTATGGTGGTGGGAAAATGACTGAAGCCGAGCTGCCAGATCAGGACCAATAATATTGTTGATTCTTCTTTGGATTTTATCAAAGATCTCTAAACATATAGCAGGAGCACTGAACCATATGTGGCAACAATATTCTAAACATGGGAGAATGGTAGACATAGATATGTAAGATAGATTAAGGAGAGAACCAACCTTCTTAGCAGCTGACCTAGCAATGAATTCAATATAGTCTTTCCATTTCATGTCAGCCAAAAATGTTAACCCAAAAAGGAGTAACAAGTCATTCTCTTGGAGGTTAGCATCAGCAATGCTGATGGAAGGAAGAAAGAAGTCTTTCAGATGATTTTACTCTTTATTTAATCTACAAAGATGGATTGTCTTCATTCTGTCTATCTAGGGATATTTTGTCTTTTCTTTTTAGTACTGGTCAATTATTGCTTGCCCTGTTTCCACTAAATCTAAGTCTACACTACCCAGTCCAGGGATTGAACTCACAATGACTATGTATCCAAATTCATGAAGCAATCCTTTAAGACATCAGGCTGTTTTCTAAAAGGAAAATATGAGATATCCTTAGATATGTAGAACAGAACAAGAACAATATACTCCTGTAGATTAAATAAAGGGTTCATTTCAAAATTCCCTCAAGATTACCCAGATCAATGAGCACCTGATGAAGACCAGAGGGTGTAACAACTGAAACATTGTGATAACAACAAAAATGAAGACAACAGTCCAAGTATAAATAATCATAACTCCTCATCCCAGAAATTCAGAAAATAAATTTTTAAATTACTTCCTGGATATTAAAGTAGCATTTCTACTTCAGGAGATGGCCAGTTATGGCTCTCCACAGCTACCTGGTTTTTGTTGCTTTCAACAATACTTGTTTCTCTATGACCTCTCTTTGTGTCTGTGGGAATTGTTTGATCATCCATTTGCTCAAAGCCATCAAGTAAGTTTCTTATTGCTTGACTCTACAACTCTTGCCTTCAATAAAACCTGTGAGTGGTAAATTCTCCAAGCTTTCTTTTCTCATTATTTTAATTAATATATTACTTTTATATGAAACCCAAATGCTGTCAAAAAAGGTGGCTATATTTATGTTATTCATTTGGTCTTGTAATAACTATCATCTTCGTTTAATGCTTTAATTCACTAGGCTAGAGTCTAAAAGAACAAGACAAGATATTCCTAGAAATGGGTAATCTACTACCATAGATTAAATAACAGGTTCAGTTCAAAATTCCCTGATAGTTACTCAGGCTGACAATCACTTGAAGGTCAGAGGGCAGAACAGCTAAAACATGATAATAACAAAAAGATGAGGACAATAGTCCATGTAAATAATGTAAATAATGATAACTCCTCATCCCAGAAATTCAGACATAAATTTTAAAATTAATTCCTGGATATTAAAGTAGTATTTCTCTGTCTATGTGCTATGTCCCTTCAGGAGATGGCCAGTCAT